AGCACCGCAGACCGTTCCTTGCCCATCAGGCGGGAACGAGTATCACCGAAGTCGTTGTTCGCCAGAGCCTCAAGGCAGGGCATGGAGTGACCTGCCAACCGCCACTCCACTCAGGGGCTGTGTTGCGGGACCTCAGAAATTACTATGAGCACATCAATCACCAGAAGCTGATTGAGAATGAGAGGGCCCACAACACTGGCTTCAGCGGCGTCTTGCTAAAGGTCATTTTCAAGCCAGTGCAGCTGCGCGAGACTGGTGGCCACTCGCGACCTGGTCCAGCTCGTGGACCACCCAACCCGAGGTATTGCAGCTGGATGTGGGTGGGCCACGTTTTTGGCCCGAATTTAACATGCTGGACCTTTTGGGCGCCTGGGCGCGACAAAATCCCAAGGGCACGGGCCTCCAGATGTTCATCGATGTTCTGTTCCTGGGGCAACGGCGCCGAGGCCCGCAGGCCCTCGTCCAACAGCTGCAGCGCTCCGCGGCTAGGCTTGCCACGCTTGTGTCCAGGGCGACCTCGAGTGCAATCTTGCTTTGCACAGGGCCCAGGTTATAGCTTCCACCGCCGGACTACGTGGACTCATCCGAAAGGCCCTTGGGAAAGATGCAGGCCCGACAGGCGCCCATGCAGCCGCAGATTGGGGGATGGGCGGCGCTCTGGGGGCCTCGAGACTGCGAATCAACAGACGCGTTGCCGATGTCACCCTGTGCAGAAGGTTTGTAGGTATCGCGACAGGGGCTACCTTATTCGGGCTATAAAGAGAGCGGGAGGGGACGCGCGGAGAATGTGGAAGACGGGGCTCCAGCAGGCCCTCGCCCACGGCACGGAGGTTGTTGGCTTAGACCCCCGAGAACTTCAGAACCTACAGAATGAGCATCTCAACGTGGCGGGTCGAGTCTGGCGGTGCTGGGGGGCCCCGCGGGGAGAGCTGGATGAGGGCCCGCGATGACTTGGGCGACGATCGTCTGGCGCGCGACAACCCGACCGAGCCGTCCACGAAAGCTCCTAGAACTGAAGGCCTCGCTAAGCCCATCCTCGCGCCCCATCCCTCCCAATGGGCTGCCGAAAGAGGGGGCGGCCTACATTTCACCCCGCAGAACCGGCTGGAGTTCCTGATCCTTTTTCTGAGCGTCAGGATGCGAGTGGATATCGCTATCCGCTCACAACCTGCGCGCCGCGCATGATCCCTGGGGACAGGCCGTGGTTAGGAAAATAGCCCAGAAGCTAGGCCACCCCCAGGAGACCCACAATGCGGATATAGCTTGGAAGCTTTTGGTTGATGAAGCGTTACTTAAGAAGGCCAGATCCACCCTTGTCAGTTCTCCCACCCAGAGTATCTGGAACAATGCGCGCCTGCAGAGTGCAGGACGTGATGCTGATGGTCGTTGCCAGTGCGGCCACGAGCGTGACGATTCAAGGCGTCGCCTATTGCAATTCCCCACGAGCGCTGCCCTGCGAGAGCAGTTCACGGACGACGAGCTTGATGCGATCTCACGGGTGTCCGATCTGGCTCTAGCTCACGGGTGCCAATCCCAACCTGAATTCGACGCGGGGGCTCCTGCAGGGTGCGGTTTTGAGCATGCTGAGTCTTGATGCAGAGACCCAAGCTCCAGGCCTGCGGAGGCTCTGGCTGGGGGTGTTTTCGCGGACGGGTCCTGCTTGAAACCAGGGGGTCGCAGCGTGTGCAATGCGGCGGGCTGGTCGGTGGTTTCCACCGACAGGCGTGGGGCTTCGCCTACCTTGTTGGGGGTGTGGGCAAATGCCTTCCCTCCTCCTCTCCCGCTGCCGAGCATTGTGCTGTGCTTGCTGCTGGCGTCAATACTCACCCGCGCGCCCGCGTGCATGTGGACTACCAGGGGACGATCGACGTGCACATTGACGCCGATTTTTCCAGGGCTGATGTTTTAACGGGTGGTGCCTGTTCGAGTCCCCTGGGGCCTAGGCTGAACAAGATCAAAGCGCATGTCAATCTCAATGAGCCCCCCCCTGGATTGTCAGCGAAGAATGGAGGAGAGCCAAAGGCAACGATGCTGCTGATGGGCTGGCCAAAATAGCAGCCGCCAGAGCCTCCCAGCCGAGCCAGAACGAGAACAGCAGAACAGTCTGCTAGCCAAGTATCTTCGATCTGTTTCAGATGCCCTGCAGCCGTGGCCTACTGTCGCCCCCGGGATAGGTGCCAAAGCTTTGACAAGCCGGCCCAGAGTTTGAGCCCGCGGCTGGCCCATCTTGGGGCTGTCTCCCTCCTCTTCCCTCGGTGAGTCCGCCCCCCGACTCCGACGTGGATTCTTAAAGAGAGCACCAATGGCACCCCCCGGGGGGAACAGTTTCCTGTGTGCTGCGTGCCGCCAACGGTGCGGCAGTCAGGCAGCGATGTAGCGTCGAGCCAAAGAAACGTGCCTAGATTTCTGCCAAAGTCACACCGATCTTATGAACAACCCCGAAGGCACGTTCCGTACTTTTTAGGATGTGCTGATGATAGTTCCCCGCTCTGTTATCCTATGCTGGAAGTGTGGGAGGGTAGACATCCCAAGGGGGCCGCGAATCCACATATAGTTTTTAAAACACCGATCCCGTTGGCCCAGCTGGTGAACGAGCTAGCTACGACAGACCCCACCGACCTCGAGATGGGTAATCCGAGTGGGCCTCTGTGAGCCTGGATCGCTTCGAGACGAGCAACCCGCTTGTTTCCAACTGTCCCTTTCATTTGCCGTGAACGCCCCCTCCGAGGGGATGCGGATTGATGCCCAGGACGGCCGAACCCACCCTCTTAAGTCTGAGCGCTGGTCCTCCTCCTCCTCCTCCTCCTCCTCCTCCTCCTCCTCCTCCTCTTCCTTTTCCTCCTCCTCCTCCTCCTTCCTCCTCCTCCGGCTCCACCTCCTCCTCCTACTCCTCCTCCTCCTCCTCTTTATCCTCCTCCTCGTCCTCTTCCTCCTCCTCTTCCTCCTCCTCCTGATCCTCCTCCTCCTCCTCCTCCTGATCCTCCTCCTCCTCCTCCTCCTTCTTCTCCTCCTCCTCCCCCTCGGCCTTCCATTTGTAAGGCCCCCGCACGACGCGGGCCTGCCATGTGCCAGTTCCCGTCTCGGTCCCTTCCCTTCTCGAGGTGGCCGAGACGGGTTCGCGCCCCTTCGGCATCCTCCGGGCCCTCCGCGCACAGAAACTTGAGCGCCCGCCGCCCAGAATGGCTAGCCACGATCAGGTGTGCGTCAGACATGGATCGGCACGGCCGTGCGCGGCAACGTCGAGTTGACGACGGGCTTCTGCTTCGATTGGTTCTTGCTCGTGATGGATGATGGAGCCATTCCTTACTCTTCACAACTTAAGCTCATGGACGCATTGATATGCGACCTTGTACGAAACTCCAAAGTTCTTATTCCGTACGGTGCAACTTGATGCGCACGCCATCTTATTGTGACCTTGAAAAAACAACGCCCCTCCACCGACCACCACCCCCACTCCTCCTCGTCCTCCAACGCCTCACCCGCCTCCGCCGTCTTGTTTTCCTCCGCGGGGAGAGGGAAGGGATGGGGGGGCGTCAGTCAGACGGCGCACGCCTGCGGCGGACTCCCCTCCCCGCCCCCCTCCCGATGGCCTTCGATACGGACGAGCTAGGGTTTGGAGGGTGCAGTGGCCCGCGGGAGGAGATCACGCCCTCGCACGGGTCGTGTGCTATCCGATTGCCCCCGGGCTATTTTTCACCCGTTGCCATCCAATATCGAGCGTATTGTACGGGTGTGCCATTTGGTGCTGGAAGCACCTTGACGAGTACAGCAACATACGCTTTCTGTTTTTGTGTGCTTCCTACGCCATGACTCTGTCTTTTATACACGCTGAGCGCCGCCGTGAAACTGTGTCGAGCCCATCTGTGAATGTCCCATACTTGCTTTCAAGGCATACGTGGCACACCTTGACCGCAAGATGCGGGCTCCACGGTCTCGGATGTAGCGCTTCTGGACCGACTCACTTTGGAAGTGTGCCCCATGCTGCATGCCACCGCAAGGTCGCACAACAAACTCAGACTCGTGATCATGTCAGCTAGTGATCAGCATGTTACAGTACTGTGACAGGAGGAGGAGGAGGAGGAGGAGGAGGAGGAGGAGGAGGAGGAGGAGGAGGAGGACGAGGAGGAGGAGTGGACTGGCGCGGGCGGCCCTGCTCACAGCTCGCGGGGCCGTCGCGCGTGACCCCAGGCCCGAATCCTTCGGGCCCGAGGCTTGAGCCAAAACGGCCGCGGACCTCATCCCTCCGCCTCCTCCTCCTGCTTCTCCTCCTCCTCCTCCTCCTCCTTCTCCTCCCCCTCCTCCTCCCCCTCCTCCTCCTCCTCCTCCTCGCCCCAGAACTCTGCCCGTCCTGCTCCCCGCGCCTCTGCCCTCGCCCTCTCGCCGCCCTGGCTTCGGCCAGCCTCCTCCGCGCAGCGCAGGGGGCAGGAGGCGCACCGCTCCCCGGGGGGTCAGTCAGGCCGTGGACGAGGACGAGGACGAGGACGAGGACGAGGACGAGGACGAGGACGAGGACGAGGACGAGGACGAGGACGAGGAGGGGAGAGGACGAGGAGGGGAGAGGACGAGGACGAGGACGAGTAGGGGGAGAGGCCAGAGGAGGCGCCGAGGACGAGGAGGGGAGATCATCACTCGTTCTACAGGGGGGCTGGAAAAAGTGGCCAGGGCCAGCGCTGCCACTCTTTCCACCCCTGGGCCAGTTACTACTTCCAGCTCCGGCGACCTCATCCCAACTTCTTCGTGCTCGTCGCAGCCCTTGCTGGTTTTTCCGACCCTGGCCACTTCCACTCTGACGGAATTCCCACTTCCCTTTTTTTCCAGCCCCCCCGTAGTCTTTCCCTCGCCGCGTCTGTTTTGGACTGCCGGGCACTCTTCTCATCTCGTCTCGCCCTGGCCGCCGCCGTCGCCGTCGCCGCTGCCGCCGACCCTTCGGTCAGCCAGCGCGCAACGCCGCAGAGGCCGCCGAGCGTTCCGCGCCGCGCCGCGCCGCGCGTGCGCCGCGGATGCCGCGCGGCGTGTTCTCCGGGCTGCTGGCCGCGGATGCCGGCGCCGCCACCGGCGGCGCCGGCGGCGCCGAGGAGGCCCGGGCGGGCGTGGCCGCAGGGGGCACCGGAGGCGCGGGCGGAGGCGGCGCCGAGGGCGCCCCCGGCGAAGATCAGGGACAACGCTGGGTGGGAGAGGAGGGAGGCCCTCCTATTTGCTCCTGCTCCCTCCTCCTCCTGCGTCTCCTCCTCCTCCTCCTCCTCCGCCTCCATCCCCGCCCCCAGGTGGGACAGGGTCGGGGCTGGCGGGCCTATTCGGAGCAGCCGATTTGGTCCTGCCATGTATTCATGATCTCTTCGAAGTTTTTTCTCTGAAGGCAAGAGGCTCGCCCCCGTGAGCAAGACAATGCCTTGGGGGAGCCGAGTTCGCCGAGCCGTTCGTCCCTACCGATTTTGGGTCGACCAGAACCTCGGAGGCCTCGCCAGCCTATGTCGACCTTGTTTTTCCCAACCATCCTGTGGTGTTGGGTCCTCGTTTTGAAGAGACGGTGCCCCGCGTCTCTCCTCCTCTCCTCCTCCTCCCCCTCCTCCTCCTCCTCCTCCTCCTCCTCCTCCTCCTCCTCCTCCTCCTCTCATCATCAGCATCATCATCATCGTCATCGTCACCGTCATCATCAGCATCATCATCATCATCATCGTTCTTATCACCATCGTCGTCATCATCATCGCCGTCTCCATCATGGCCACACGTTTCGTGGACCCATAGTGAGCTCCACCGAAGGCCCCAGTGGCAAGGTCCGCATGCGGTTCCACCTCCATTTCGGCGCACCCCTCACACGTTCCGTGGCCCCATAGGGAGCTCCACCGAAGGCCCAAGTGTCAGGGTCCGCATGCGGTTCCACCTCCATTTCGGCGCACCCCTCACACGTTTCGTGGCCCCATAGGGAGCTCCACCGAAGGCCCAAGTGTCAGGGTCCGCATGCGGTTCCACCTCCATTTCGGCGCACCCCTCACACGTTTCGTGGCCCCATAGGGAGCTCCACCGAAGGCCCAAGTGTCAGGGTCCGCATGCGGTTCCACCTCCATTTCGGCGCACCCCTCACACGTTTCGTGGCCCCATAGGGAGCTCCACCGAAGGCCCAAGTGGCAGGGTCCGCATGCGTTTCCACTTCCATTTCTGTTGTAGGGAGGGAGGAGGAGGAGGAGAGGAGAGGAGGGGAGGAGGAGGAGGAGGAGGAGGAGGAGGGAGGAGGACGAGGAGGAGGAGGAGGAGAAGGAGGAGGAGGAGGAGGAGAAGGAGGAGGAGCAGGAGCAGGAGGAGGAGGAGGATCACCACTACCTATTGCAAAATTGAAGAAAATTGGCCCACCACCTGCGCAGCACGCACCCCGGGAGAGGTCCTGGGAGCAGCGGTATCGACATCTCCCTGTTCCCCTGGAGCCATCGCCGCTGGCGGGGGGAGGCCCCGCCGCGTCTCCTGCGGGGCAGCGTCAGGGCGGTGGGCAAGCTCAGGGGGGGACGCCCTCCCTCCTCCCCCCTCCTCCCTCCCTCCATCCATCCATCCCTCCTCCTCCTCCCCCCTCCGCCTCCTCCCCCCTCCTCCTCCTCCTCCTTCTCCTCCTCCTGATCCTCCTCCTCCTCTTCCTACTCCTCCTCCTCCTCCTCCTCCTCCTCCTCCTCCTCCTCCTCCCCTCCTCCTCCTCGTCCTCCTCCCCCTCCTCCTCCTCCTCCTCCTCCTCCTCCTCCATTCCTTTTTCTTATACATAAGTTCTCCCTGTCGCACCCCGAGGCCAGTCTTCAGGGCGGGCTGGGTGTTTCGCCTGAGACTTCCTCACCGTGCATGACCCTGAAGCTTTAAAACTGGCAACAGCTTCACAGATGGAGAGCGGATGGTTTTCAAAGTGTGGCTCTCGCCTTAGCGCGCGCACACTCGTTTCAAACGTTTGTAAGAGTTTAAAGGGATTGAGGCCAGGTCGTTTTCAAAATGTGACTCGCGCCATAGCGCCGCACAAGGTCGTTTCAAACATGTGCAAACATTTCACGTATTGAGGGTGGGTGGTTTTCAAAATGTGGCTCTCGCGTTCACGCCGCGCACATTCGTCTCAAACAGTTGCAAAAGCTTCACGGACTGAGGGCGGTTCCTTTTCAAAATGGTGATCTCGCGTTAGCGCGCCGCGCACACTCGCTTTCAACATTGCAAAAGATTCACAGATTCCCAAGATCAGCGTACCAAAAATTGCGTTTTGGAAGGATTCAATACTACGAGGGTGCAACCGTTACTTTGGTTCGCGCACGATTCTGGATAGTCACAACGCAACACTCAAGTTGATCCGTGGCGTTGAAATCCCAAGAACAATGTTTTGACATGCTTCAGGGTCTTCGAACAGTTGACAACCCGTTGAATGAGGCCTATGACCAGGAAGCTTGGAAGGAGAGTTTATTCCAACATCGTTGATGACCCTTGGGGTTGCACTGGTTCTCCTCCTCCTTCTCCTCCTCGTCCTCCTCCTTTTCTTCTTCCTCCTCCTCCTCATCATCATCATCACCACCACCACCACCATTATCATCATCAGCATCAGCATCATCATCATCATCATCATCATCATCATCATCATTATTATCATCATCATCATCATCATCTTCTTCATCATCATCATCATCAGCATCATCATCATCGCCATCATCATCATCATCATCATCATCATCATCATCATCATCATCAGCATCAGCATCAGCATCAGCATCATCAGCATCATCAGCATCATCAGCATCATCATCAGCATCTTTCCTGAGGAGTAGGCTCAGAGGGGCGCGTCGACACCCAATCGTGGGACGCAGAAAAACACACTAGAACTACGCGTCCTCCTCGGAGGCGTGCGTCCCACACGAACATATGTAAAACAAACAAACCGTAACAGATCGTCTCCCGAGCGGCACGGCTTGAAAACACACTCCACGGAGCTCGTACTGTAAGAACTCCGAACGTGCGCGCCGCCCTTGCATGGCCGACGCACACCTTGCATGAAGGAGCCCAGGGACACACGAGTAAATACACATGAATACCAGGATGCCCCATATGTTTCCACGTGTTCTGGAGTTTCGTCTTACCACCCACTAACCATTCTTTTTCAATTTTCCTGGGGAATCGACCACTAATTGTGTCTGTGTGTTTCCCTCCTGACTGTATTAGTATGCTTGGGAGGTGCCGATGTCGCCCACTGATCGCCGACAAGTGGCCGATAGCCCACCCTGTCCAGCAGCATTCTGATTTGCAACCAGGGGGCCATCGCCGATATATCAGCGATGCATCGCCGAAGCATGTCGATGACCACCTCCCCGGCTGGAGGCATGGGCACCAGCACACCAGTACAGGGAGGTGCCTCCACGGGGGGAAGAGGATCCTAGAGCTGGGTGCAGGTATGAACTCTTCGGCCACCAGGGAGATCCGAACATCACCACCATCACTGAGGTCGGGCTCACCTTCCCTCGGTGGAGGCACACCGACGAGGCTGGGACGCAGAGGGACATACGAGTACTATGTGTCCTCCTCGGAGGCGTGCGTCCGACCCGAACATATAGCACAACCATATTGTAATCTATCGTTGCCCGAGTGGTGTGGCCAGAAAGCGCCCGCGGCGGAGCATATACTACAAGGCTTCTCGGCGCGCCCGTGTCGCTCCAGTGGGGGCGGCGCACACATAGTATTAGTATGCTTGTGGCGCCGCGAGATGGGCGTTGGTGCCAACCTCTACTGGGGGAGCTGGAAACACGAACGACAGGACGCGCGAGGAACGGAGTGGTCAAGGCAGGGGAAGCCGAGTCCGCGACAAAGGGCGGGGCCGACGCCCCGACCGAAAAGAAAATTTATCCTGGCGAAGGGCCCAACCATACGCAATTCCGAATGCCGCCGTTGTAAGTATCGTCGTTGGTGGAACACCCGATGGGGCCACGAAGCGTGTGAGAGGTGCGCCAAATGGAGGTGGAACTGCATGCGGACCCTGCCACTGGGGCCTTCGGTGGAGCACCCTGTGGGGCCGCGAAACGTGTGAGGGGTGCGCCGAAATGGAGGTGGAACTGCATGCGGACCCTGCCATTGGCGCCCTCGGTGGAGCTCCCTATGGGGCCGCGAAACGTGTGAGGGGTGCGCCGAAATGGAGGTGGAACTGCATGCGGACCCTGCCACTTGGGCCTTAAGCGGAGCTCTCTATGGGGCCACGAAACGTGTGAGGGGTGTGCCGAAATGGAGGTGGAACTGCATGCGGACCGTGCCACTTGGGCCTTAGGCGGGGCTCCCTATGACCGCGGTGGCGAGGACTCTCCAGGACGGGCAGCGTCGTCAGTATGCCAGGTAACCCGCGAGGGCGCGGAGAGGTCCTCGCGGCTCGCGCATCGCGGCCTGAGCCGGAGCGGCTGCCCTTCTTCGAAGGGGTGGCGCGAGGGCGCGACAGCGCGAGGAGAATCGCGAGTCGCGGGTCATGACGCGCGAAGTCAGGTGACCTGGGTACAGTGGAGGCCCATGCCAAGAAACCCCCTGCTTGCCTCCAGGGTGCCCTGGGTTTCTTGGGTTTCGATGGTTTTGCTATGGAAAGCGTGACGTCCCCACACCAAAATCAATGGACGTCCTGGGGTCCCAGGGTTGGGTTTCTTGTGGAAGGTTTCTTGTGGTCGAGCTCCTACTGTATTCTTTCTCTGACGTCTGCGCGGATTTCCTGGATCTGTGCTGGGCCCCCTTTCCGCGCGCCAGGGGAGGGGGCCATCCGCTTTGTGCAGTCTGTGGCTCCTCCACGGGGGCCGCTCTCCCAGAGAACCGCAGGAGGCCTACCGTCCTGCTGGCCCCCCCCCCCGCCCCCCGAAGGCTCGTGGCTGGCAATAATTCTGCGCGTCCCCCGGCTCGCCCTGTCCTCCTGCTTCTCCTCCTCCCCCTCCTCCTCCTCCTCCTCCTCCTCCTCCTCCTCCTCCTCCTCCTCCTCCTCCTCCTCCTCCCTCCTCCTCCTCCTCCTCGTCCTCCTCCTCCTCCTCCCTCCCTCCTCCCCCTCCTCCTCTCTCCTCCTCCTCCTCCTCCCCCTCCTCCTCCTCCTCTCCCTCCTCCTCCTGCTTCTCCTCCTCCTCCTCCTCCTCCTTCTCCTCCTCCTCTTTTTCTTGTGGAAGGCTCCTCGTGGTCGACGCCCTCCTGCATTCTTTTCCTCGGAGGCTCGGCGGCCGCGGGCGGAGGCGGCCCGGCGGCCGCGGACGAGCGGTCCTGGGACTGCCCGTGCCCAGGGGCGCGCGAGGCGTTCGGTGGCAAATCGCAGGAGCCTCAGCGTACCTTCGCAGTTTTGTCTTTAGCGCTAAGTCGGGCCTGTCCCCCTACAGGGGGATTTTCGACGAACAACAAAAAATGCCCCCCAAATGCCCCAAAAAGGTCAAAAGATGCTTGAAAAATAGTCCCCAGACTATTTTTAGAGCATCTTTGGATTATTTTTGGGCTATTTTTCATTTTTCGTCGAAAAGCCCCCCTGTAGGGGACAGGCCCGACTTAACTTTAGCGTCGATTAGCGTCGATAGCGTCTGATAGTTGATGAGATAGCGCCGATTGAGCGTCGTGTAGTGCCAATTGGCCTCGATTTACCGTCGATGAGTGTCGATTTAGCGTCGACGAGGGTCGATTCGCAAGAGCCAACAGGGATGGTGTGGGAGGCTCCCATGAGTTGCCACCCGAACAGGCGCACCTGTGGAGCTACGCCCCGGGCTCTGGCCTGCCGACGCTGCGGTGCCCCTGCCGCGAGATGGGGGCGAAGGAGACTCCCAGACCTCCGGCGGTGTGATTGTAGTGGCCTTCGGCCAGTGCCGCCGATCCGGGTCGCTCGGTGTTATTCTCCAGACGCAGACATTATGGGCGCACATTCAAACGCACAAACTTCTCGGGTTACATTCGAAAGGGCGTAGGAATGCAGTTGGGTCAATAGAGCCATCTCGCAACAGTGGTTCTATCAACGGCGGGGTGCTTGCAGTGACCGTGGGGACGGGACATGATAATGACATGAAAATCCCACCAGCCCTTTAGGGCGTCGGTGGTTTAACGAGTTTCCTCTTCCACCCCTCCTTCTTCCCCTTCGGGGAGGGGTTTACCCCTCCCCCTACCCCCTCCCCACTGACCTGGACAGGGGGGGCCGCGATCGGTCAGAGCGTCCAAGATCGACCCCTGGGAGGGCTAAAATTCGACACCCCTCACGAGGATCGTGGCTCCTGAGGGGGGGGCTGAAATTTAGGAACCCCCCTTCGTTGATCGATCTCCTCCAAGATGGCTCCGAGAGACGTCTTGGACCCCCTCTTGGGCCCTGCGCGCGGGCGGGCGGAGCGCCGCCCGCCCGCCCGCAAGGCCCAAGAGCCCACCAAAACGTTCGAAGATACTTCCAAGACGCCACCAGGGAAGAGGAAGATGAGGAGGAAGAGGAGGAGGAGGAGGAGGAGGAGGAGGTGAGGGAGGAGGAGGAGAAGAGGAGGAGGAGAGAAGGCGGAGGAGGAGGAAGAGGGGGAAACGAAGAGCGCCGATGATCGGCAGCTGTTCTCCTCCCCCTCTTCCTCCTCCTCCGCCTTCTCCTCCTCCTCTTCTCCTCCTCCTCCCTCACCTCCTGCTCCTCCTCCTCCTCCTCCTCCTCCTCTTCCTCCTCATCTTCCTCTTCCCTGGTGACGTCTTGGAAATATCTTCGAACGTTTTGGTGGGCTCTTGGGCCTTGCGGGCGGGCGGGCGGCGCTCCGCCCGCCCGCGCGCAGGGCCCAAGAGGGGGTCCAAGACGTCTCTCGGAGCCATCTTGGAGGAGATCGATCAACGAAGGGGGGTTCCTAAATTTCAGCCCCCCCCTCAGGAGCCACGATCCTCGTGAGGGGTGTCGAATTTTAGCCCTCCCAGGGGTCGATCTTGGACGCTCTGACCGATCGCGGCCCCCCCTGTCCAGGTCAGTGGGGAGGGGGTAGGGGGAGGGGTAAACCCCTCCCCGAAGGGGAAGAAGGAGGGGTGGAAGAGGAAACTCGTTAAACCACCGACGCCCTAAAGGGCTGGTGGGATTCCATACAGGATGCCGATCACTTTGGAAACTCACGATACGTCGTGCACGGAGTCGTGTTACGAAACATGTGGCCTGGACGATGTGGTGCGAGCGGTGGAGGCGAGCCTATCGGCGCAAGGACGCCCTCTTGGGGCGTTTTTTGAGCCATCTTAGGAGCCTGTCAGGGCGTCGTGGGGGCTTCTTGGGGGCTTTCGGAGGCCCTCTTGGAGGCTCTTGGGGCCTCCTGGGGGCCTCGTGGGCTGGAAGGCTAGATATTTTCCGTATTTCGTCCCTCTTTTGGGTCCTCTTGGGGCCGTCTTGGGGGCTTGTTGGGCCGTCTTGGGCGGCTCTTGGGCCGCCTTGGGCCCTCTTGGGCCGTCTTGGGACTGTCTGGGGGCCTCCTGGGCCGTCTTCGAGCGGTCTTGGGGACCTCTTGGGCCGTCTTGGAGCGTCTGAAAGCCGAAAAAAGCGACAACCCCAAAAACATTGAAAAAACCAATGGGAATCAACGATTTTTGCCTCTGGGGGCCATCGTGGGAGGCCTCTTTTGGAGGCCTCTTCAGACGTCGTGGAAGGCTCTTGGGCCGTCTTGGGGCCATCTTGGGCGTGTTCGGGCGATCCTTCGGGGTCTCGGGACTTTCGTAGACCGTCCTCAGAGACTTTCGCGGCCGCGGCCACCCTTCCAGCGCATCTTCTGTAAAAGCAGCGCCCCGCATCCGCCGGAAACTCGCACCCCCGCCCCCCTCATCCCCCCTTCCCTGGCAGAGCCACCCCGGCACCCCCCCCAGAGGCTGAGGCTCAGCCTCGAGGCTGTAGCTGAGACTCCTTGAAACTCACACGCCAGATCGGCGGACTTGTTGCATCCTGGTGGCCCTCGATGAAGAAAAACACCATAAACATAAACTTTTGGCGCTCCGCACCGATTTTTTGGACTCCGGCGGTATGATTTGTTGCATCGTAGTGGTTCCCGGTGAAGAAAAACACCATGAACATAAACTTATGGCGGCCCGCGCCGATTTTTTGGACTCCGGCGGTATGATTTGTTGCATCTGGTGGTTCTCGGTGAAGAAAAACGCCATGAACATAAACTTTTGGCGCCCCGCGCCGATTTTTGGGATCCGCGTTGGGCCCCCCCCTGTCGGCGGCGCCTCCGGCGCGCGGGTGGTCCAGAACGGATCCAAGAAATCCGCGCGGAGCGCCAAAGTTTATATGTATGCCGGTTTCTTCCTCTTGGTTCGGCGGCGAGCCCAATGGGGAAGTGAGGGGGCGCGGACCTTTTCAGAAGGCGACGGGGCTTCTCAGAAGCCCTCGCGCCTTTTGAAAAGTCCTCTTAACTCTCCTCGGCAGACACAGACAACTTCCCAGCAGGCGCCAGGGCTTCTGAGAAGCCCCGAGGCCTTCTCAGAAGGCCTGCCCGCTCTCACTTCTCCCCGAGTGCGCCGCCGATGGGCGGTATGATTAGTTCAATCCCGGCGTCCTCCATTTCGGCTTTCGGAGCTCCGTTTTCAAGCACCGGGGGCATCATAATTGGATCTCGGACGAAAGCAACGCCGGAGAAGCGGTCGGGACCTCCTTGGGGCCGCCGATTGAAGGGATCATATTGGCGGATGTCAGGGTTCCCAGGCCTGCAGCGGCACGTTTTTGTTACAGCCCCCAGCGGTTTTCTTTGTCGTCGCCCGCCGGGAGGTCTTCTGTGTGGTCCTTGTCACCTCCACTAGAACCCTCTCTCTCGTGACACGCCGTGCGGGGAAAGTCCGCCGACCCTGTCAGGCGTGTGTGGGGTGCCTGTTTGGTCCCGTCGACGGGACGCCTTTTCTGTTTATCCTTCCACGTCGGGGGTGAGAGAGCACTCTCCCATCGTCGTGGGGAGGAGTCCGGGGATTGAGGGAAATCGAGCTTCTTCCCCAAGGCCGAGATGGAGGAACAACAACTCAAGGGGCGGAAACGAACATACCGAAAGAGGCCTAGGAACCCTGACGTTCGCACGTATGATTCCGAAGGCCTTACGGCCGGTGCCGCCGACCCTGAAGACAACGAAGATGAAAATGAGCGGGGGGGGGTAGGAGGCGGAGGAGGAGGAGTGGGGGGGAAGAGGAATAGTGGAGGAGGTGGATGAGGGAGGAGAAGGGGGGGGAAAGATTAGGAGGAGGGCAGGAGGCGCAGGAGGAGGAGGAGAGGAGGAGGAGGAGCAGGAGGAGGAGGAGGAGGAGGAGGAGGAGGAGCAGAGGAGGAAGGAGCAGAGAGGAGCAGGAGGAGGGGGAGCAGGGGGGGGGAGGAGGAGGAGGAGGAGAGGAGGAGGAGGAGGAGGAGGAGGAGGAGGAGGAGGAGGAGGAGGACGTTACGAGGAGGAGGACGAGGGGGAGGAGGAGGAGGAGGAGGAGGAGGAGGAGGAGGAGGAGGAGGACGAGGACGAGGACGAGGACGAGGAGGAGGAGGAGGAGCAGGAGGAGGAGGAGGAGGGGGGGGAGGGGGACAAGCTAGGTGCGCTCGCGTCATATCTGACATCCTACCCCTCCCTCCCATCCCTTACCATGGCGTAGATCCCCTCTCTACTCGCACAGTCGGATGTCGAGCAGGGCAATGATCCCGAAAGGGTACGCGATGCATTGTAGAGCACGGCATGGCATGGCGTAGAAGAGCACCGCAAAGCGTAGTATCAACCTAGCATTGCATTGCATGCCGTGGCATGGCACGGGAAATGACGCCAGCGCTGCAGCGGGAGCACGAGTCGAAACGAGCGGAAGCGCGGAAATGAGGCCAGCGCTGCAGCGGGAGCACGATTCGGAACGAGCGGGGCCCGAAAATGAGGCCGGCGCCTCAGCGAGAGCAGCATCTTGAAAACAAATGCAGGCGAAAACCCAACTCTGGGGAAACCTGTGTGTAAAAAACAGTACGCGGGGGGGGTCGGACACTTTCAAACCGTCATCAGGGGAAGAGGGAGAGTAGTATTCATATCGAGTAATTGCGGAGGATGGTGAGGGGGAGGGAGAGGGGGAGGGGGAGGAGGAGGAGGAGGAGGAGGAGGAGGAGGAGGAGGAGGAGGAGGAGGAGGAGGAGGAGGAGGAGGCGGAGGCGGAGGCGAAGGAGGAGGAGGAGGAGGAGGAGGAGGAGGAGGCGGAGGCGAAGGAGGAGGAGGAGGAGGAGGAGGAGGAGGAGGAGGAGGAGGAGGGGGAGGAGGGGGAGGAGGAGGAGGAGGCCTTTCCAAGGGCAGGAGAGCCTCCAAGTGGCCTCCCGAGGGCAGCGGGGCTCTGCGGAGGTGTCTTCTCTTAGGTCTCCCGGCCTCCGGGAGGCTTTTTGCCCAAGGGCGGGAGTGTTTCCAAACCAGGTCACGCGCGGGGGCGCGGAGGTAATCGCGCTCCGCGCCCCTTGGTTTATGCTGTTCGAACCTACTCTAGCCCTGATCGCCACGAAAAATCTGGAGCGCCAGGAAAGTATCGAAACTTGGAGGGTTTTCACTTCGGGCCCTGTGAGGCGATGCTCGTTCGGCACTTTTGCCAGCCTGTCGGGCAGACATTGTTTCGATACCTCTCTGGGTTCTCGAGATCACTTCTGGAACAACGTAGCCCTTGGTCCGAGTCAGAGCGGTTGCCCTTCTCCAGGGGGGTGGCGCGAGGACGCGATGCTGCCAAGATGAGCGCGCGTCGCGCCCTGCATCGCGGGGCGCGGGGCGCGAAATGAGGTGACCCAGTTCAGGAAACCTCGGGCGACGACACCTATTACATGTCCGCCGCCCCCTGGTCGGGCCCTTCCTGGGCCCAGGAGCTGTGTACACGCTCTCAGGAGGGCGTGGCGTATACACCGCTGCTGGGTTCGGAACGGGTCTGGCCGGAGAGCAGTGTAGATGTACAAGACTTTCGTCGCCCGGTAACCAGGTGCCCCCACCCTCACGCCAGCCCTTCGTGCGTGCCGCCGAGGAGAGCTCGCTTGGCCTCCCCGGCCTGGCCGGCCCCGCCCCCCCCCTGCGCCGTGCGCGGGCCGCCGGGCGGCTGCCGCGGCCGCGCAGCCGCCCCGAGGGGGCCAGCTTCCTGTGAGGCGCGCGCGCGCGCCAGACCCTCTCGGAGGCAGGCGGCGGCGACGACCAGGCGACGGCGGCGGCGACGACTGCGGCGGCGACGGCGGCGACGGCGGCAGCGGGCGGCGGCGACGACCGAGCGACGGCGACGGCGACGACTGCGGCGGCGACGGCGACGGCGGCAGCGGGCGGCGGGCGGCGACGACGCCAGGCCACCCGCCGTCGAGGCGCGCTTCGGGGCCTCGCCCCCGCGACTGGCGGTGGGCGCGGCGGCCGACCGCTGGGGCGCCAGCGCGCCCAGCCGCCGCGCGCCGCGCGGCCTGGCGGGGCCTTGGCCACCGCGGCGGCGCGCCGCAGCCCAGCGGCGCGCTCCCAGCGCGCGGTCGGCGCGGCCTTGGCGACCGCGGCAGCCCCCAGCGGCCCGGCAGCGCGCGGCCAGTGCGCCCAGGAGCGCGCTTGGCTGCCGTGCGGCCAGCAACGCGCGGTCGGCGCGGCTTGGCGCGGTGGCAGCGCGGCGCCCGGCAATGCGGACGATGCCCAGAGCGCGGCGCGGGCCAGCCCGCTTCGGCGGGCGCCGCCGTGTCTGCCTGCCTTGCCCGCGCCGCCTTCTCTGCCACCCGGGGGCCTTGCTACAGCACCACCGCTCCTGGCTGGAGCTGCCCTAGGCCCCAGGATAGTGCGTAAACCCTCCTGGCCTCGGCCACGGGGGCGAACACACTACGGCAGGGTCCTCCAGGACGGCCCTGGTTGGGCATGGTGGTGGTGTACGGGTGCTTTGCGTGCGCAAGTGGGGAGGTCTGAAGGGAAGGTGGATGAGGGGCAGGACGAAGGGGAGGAGGAGGAGCAGGACAGGGTTGCTTCCTCTCTCCTCCTTTTTCCCTCCCGCCCTTCCTCCCTCACCAGAGGAAGAGGAGGAGGAGGAGGAGGAGGAGGAGGAGGAGGAGGAGGAGGAGGAGGAGGAGGAGGAGGAGGAGGAGGAGGAGGAGGAGGAGGAGGGGGAGGGGGAGGAGGAGGAGGGAGGAGGAGGAGAGGAGGAGAGGAGGGAGGAGGAGGAGGAGGAGGAGGAGGAGGAGGGGGAGGGGGAGGGGAGGGGGAGGAGGCGGAGGGAGGAGGAGGAGGAGGAGGAGGAGGGAGGAGGGGGGAGGAGGGGGGGAGGGTAAACAGGAAGGAGGAGGGAGGAGGGAGGAAGGAGGAAGGAGGAAGGAGGAAGGAGGGAGGAGGAGGGAGGAAGGAGGGAGGAAGGAGGAAGGAGGATGCAGGAAGGAGGAAGGAGGGAGGAAGGTGGAAGGAGGAAGGAGGAAGGAGGAAGGAGGAAGGAGGAAGGAAGAAGGAAAAAGGAATGGGGGGAGGAGGGAAAAGGGAGGAGGGAGGAAGAAGAGAAAGAGGAGGAGGAGGAAGAGGAGGAGGATGGCCAGTGTAAACTGAGGGAAAGGGCTTCAACGCCACGAGGTAACCTTTGCGATCCGCAGCCGACCCAGGACACCATTCCTGGGACCTCAGCACCGCGAGCCAGCGTTAAGTGTTGCGCCCTGCTGGCAAGTTAAATCTGAGAACCACTGAAACTCTTGTAACTGTTTGAAGCGAGTGTGCGCGGCGCTACCGCGAGAGCCACAGTTTGAAAACCACCCACCCTTAATCCGCGAGGCTCGCACTAGCTCCTCGCTGTCGCTGGAGGCCTCGGCTTCCGCGAAGAAGGCGGATCTGGAAAACGGCGGCGAAAACGTCAGATGGCCGTCTCGACCCCAGCGGCCATCGCGGAAATCAGCTCGCGACGCCATCGCGCAGCTGGCCCCAGCGGCGCCGACGAGCTGAGAGCGAAGATGATTCTTGGAACACCGTCTGTCGCAGGACGAAAGGAAATCGGCACTGTTGGACAAGAGTCGAGTGCCTTCCTGAACCAGGGCGCCCTCAGAGTCCAGAGTCAGACCGAACGTGCGTTGATCCAGCCGAATCGACGAGACCCCCCCGCGACCGAACAAAAATGCCCCAATGCACTCAGGGCCCCAGGAGCTGGTAGAAACAAGGCGGTCAATCCAGAACAGTCGGCCCTTGCCCATTTGATGTTCGGCCACCCGCCAGCGCAACTCCACGCGTGGGCCCCCCCTGTAGTCTTCCTCGCTGACCTGCTTGATCGGACCCCCCCCCCCAATTGGGGGCCCGAGCCACGCGGAGCGCCTGGCGCGCCGGTGACATGGCCACGAAGAAGGGTTGGTCACGCTCCAGGGTGCCCCACGGCTCGGCCCTGCCAGAGGCCGCCAGCAGATCGGCGCCAGCCAGGGCGCCCGAGGCCTCGGAGATTCGGAAGCCCATCCCCTCGAGTTCCTTGGGAGCCTTTGGAGGAAGAAGCAAGTCTGAGCATGCCGAGCCACCCCGCTTCTTCTCGCGCTGCCAGGCGGCCCCGCGTCGAGCCCTTCGGCCCGCTCCGAGGCCCCGGCTCTCCAGCGCCTGGGCGGTGGCTTCGCGGACCTCGCGTGGCGCCCAGCGCGCGGGTCGGGTCAGGCCGCGCCCGCCCAGGGCGGCGGCCGCGAAGCGGCCTTCAACGAAGATCTGAAACTTCCCATCCTGCTTCCCTTCTTCCTCCTCCACCTCCTCCTCCGTCTCCCCTGCGCCAGGGCGCGACGTCAACTTCCTGGGCAGACTGGCCCTCGAGGCGCCTCTGAATGTGGCCGGCGTCGGCGGCTTGCGACGGCGAACCGACTATCTTCCCTCCCCCGGCTCATACCTCCACCCACCTCGGACCAGGTGGGAGAAGCTTCGACGGGAGGCTTGCTCCGCGTGCCTCGATGAACAGCGATGTGAAAAAGGCAAGCTTCGCGCTTCTGCCCAACGGAACCTCGACCCATCCTCTCTCCTGCGCAAGTCTTTCTCATCCGATTCCTTCCTGCTTTTCGCTGCCTGAGGCCCCCAGGATGGACCTGCGCCAGAACCCCGGGGCCTCGCTGCCCCAGGCCCGGTTCTGAAAAACTGTCATGTTCCGAAGGAAAACGCGGTCTGGCGAGACATGGCCCAGCAGACTCAAGCCGCCCGCGCGTCTGCTTCGCGTCGGGGCAGAACGGCCAGGCGGCCGTCGACGACGGAGTTGGCGAGCCTGGGGCCGAAGAGGCCGCGGCCACTCATGCCGCGATCCTCTGGAGGCCGGCCTCACTCAGGCTGGCCTGGCGCCGTGCTCGACGCTTGCGCTCCTCCGCGATCATCTCGACGACCTGGTCGCAGCTCCTCTCGCCCCTCTCCTTCTGGCACTGCGGGGCGATCGTCATGTTCGAGAAGGCCTAGGCTGCATCTCCACCGCGGTCATAGCCCCGTAGCCCTCCTCGATGACCGGCACCCTGCCCTTCATCATGGGCGACCCCTCGAAGCGAACGTAGCCGTCGCCCGCCGGAACCGCCAGGCCAGGCACCGGAGCCACTCGCTACCCGATCGTCCAAGGGTCGGCGCCAGGAATTGGGGGCTCCGCGGGGGCGAAGGTCTGCTCGCGCATCGGAGGCGGCGGCTTGGCTGGAGGAACTCGACTCTTCACCTTCGGCTTGCGCGGCTGAGGCCCCGGCGCCCACCGGCCCCCCGCCCGCGCCGCCTCCAGGGCCGTCTGGCGGAAGTGCTCTTCCGTGAGCTGTGCCGCCTCGTCCGCCTCCCGGCGAGCCCTCGCCTCCAGCTTCTGCTGCTCCGTCATCGCGATGAGCTCGAGCCTGGCCCAACCCTGCCTGCAGCGCGC